TGTCAGTTTGAAGACTAAGGTGCACCTGACCCAAGTCATGGTATTTTCAATGATTTCTTTTGCATCTGAAAGTTGGATAAAGACTCCAAAGACCACAGAAGAACTGATGATACCTTTGAATTGTGGTACAGATGGAGAATACTGAATATACATAGCCTGCCAAAAGAACAATCAATTTTGTCTTAGAGGAAGTACAACCAGGAGACTTCTTTTCCTCCCACTTTCATTTTAAAAATATGGAACGCTCATGAATTTGCATGTCATCCTTGCCCAAGGGCCAAGCTAATCTTCTCTGTATCGTTCCAATTTTAGTATATGCACTGCCGAAGCAGGATACTTAAAAGCAAGTAGAGTGAAACAAATTTTACCTCATGTACTTTATAGACATGTTGTCAAGAAGTGCTAGTTCTTTGAAAAAGACATCATGCTGGGGAAAGTGAAGAGTCAGAAAAAAGCAGCAGACCCCCAATGAGACAGACTGACAAAAGTGATTGCAACAATGGCCTTGAGCACTGAGAAGGTCACAGGGTAAAATGAGTTCATATGGTCACTATGAGTCATAGTTGGTTTAATGGCACCTGACAACAAAGAGGATCCAGGAAACTCTTTTTTGGTTGGGAAAGCACCGGTTAGCCATCCCCAAGCAGATCTTTTTCTGGTCTCAGCCTCTAGCCCTGCTCAGGCAAGTTTTACAAAGTTCTTTTAAAAAGTGGCTTACTCTACCAATACACCTCGGCCCAAACATGTTTTGATTTCTCTCTAATTTCTTGGGTCATTGAGTCCAGGTTCACTGATACGTGTCCACTCTACCAGCAATCTCCTCTGCCTGGTAGTAGAGAGGGACCTATTTTTTCTGAGTCCAGGAGGATGGTAAAACTGGCCAATACCTTCATTAGGCTTTCATACACCTTGTTTACAAGGTTCCACCCCTACAGGGATTCCAGGTACATTATCTTCATTCTTAGCAGGTTATCCAATTCCCTTGTATAGCCTTAATGTATTCACATAGTCCAATCTGGTCATTTTGTGGGAGTCACAAAGATGATAGCTAGAAAGGCTGTTTAAGCAATTCAGTGCACCACAACAGGTAAACATCTTTATGGTATTGTCTGTTCTGCTTTCAGACAAGATCCATTAGATTCAAACAAATGTTTTCTACAAGATCTCAGGAAGTAGGTGCGAAGGGAGGGATGTGCCTTTTTCTTTCCTTCCTGCCCTTTACAATACAGAGCATGGCGAGAGCTTGAGTTGCCAGCCCTCCTGGACTTCAGCCACATGCAGAAGGTCAGCAGAACAATTACGACCAAAGGAAACAAACTACCTGGCTCCTGAAAGAATTCCTACTATCATCTTACCATCACCACAGAACATCATCCTACTAGGTCAGTAGAACAATGAAGTCGGCAGAACAATTAAGACAGAAGAACCACGTGGTTCCTGAAAAAATTCTTGCATCATCCTACCGGAACCACATTTCCTACCGTTAGCATGCTTGAGGGGTGGAGGTTGTATTTTTGTCTTGTTTTGTTTGTGGTTGCTTTTGCATACATCTCACAGCAATCCCGGATAAAACACATGTCCTCTGACAGAACAGACCTGAACCTGCACTTCTCATATGATCTCTTGCTGATGAGGAGTTAGCCTGGCAATGTGAAGGTGAAGCCCCACAATACTGACAGTCACGGCTTCCTTTTCCTACAGGAACCGAGGAGGGGAGGAAAACCTTTCAGTTCTTCTCCCCAACAGGCTGGGTGATGCTAAAGGGCATTTAAGGACAGAGAAGTATAATCCTAAATAAAACAAAACAAGAAAGAGAGAAAGGAAACAACAAGTCTCTCAGGAGGGAAAGACTCTACAATAGTCTAGGGGAGGAGGTAATGTCAGCTCTAAGAGTCAATTCAGGCTCAAGTTAGCCATTTTGTGAAAAGTACACTACGTTCCACAGGGTTTTCCAGAATGTGGGATTCTGGAAGTAGATTGCCAGATCTGTTTTCCAAGGTGCCTCTGAGTGGGTTCAAACCACTAACTTTTAAGCTAACTATCTATATAACCTCGGGGAGGTAAACTCTTCCAGAGATTCTGTAATCAGCTGACACTTCCTGGAATACATCTGAATCCGTAATGTACATTCCTTTTAAAGTCTTCTAGTTTTTAACTCCATGCCTATATAGTCTTATTCTTGTTATCAAAGCATTCAAACTAATACAGGGCCAGGCTTTGAACCAATACAAAATAGTCCAGCTATGGCCTATGAAAACAAGGGAATCAAATGCATTGTACAACCAGGACTCTCGCTATTGCATTTTGAGCTGCTCTGCTCAAAAAACAGTGGCCCACTGCTTAGTTCTTAGACTGCCTGTAAATTGTGGTGTTGAAGAAAAACATTTAATATTATCACACACTGTCAAAAGAACACACAAACCTGTCTTGGAGAAAATCGAACTAGGATATTCCTTAGAAGCAAAATGCTGAAGCGTCACCTCACATGCTTTGGGCACGTTGTCAGGAACCACCAGTCCTTGGGAAAGTAGGGTCAGCACAATGAGATGGACTAACACACTGACTTCAACAATAGGGCAAGATTTCAATGTGCTGCTCAGAGTCGCTATGAATTGCAGCTGGCTCGACAAAATCTAACAATAAATAGGGGGAGATTACCCATCTTCCCCCTGTGGAGTAACGAGTAGAGAGTCAAACCACTGAACTTTTAGTTCTCAGCCTGACACATTACATACTATGCTACCAGGGTTATTTAATGATTAGCTTAAACCAAAATAATGAAATCTATTTTAAATCAAAGCGACCCTTCTTCAGGTTTCTGAAGCTGTAATTTTTTTTAAGGCTTTAAATCTTTTTTTTTATTTTGTGTGAGTGTACCGTCAAATCAGATCTGACTGGTACAGGAGGATATTGCGCCTCCTTCTCCGGCAGAGCATCTGGTGGATTCGAACCGTGTTCCTCTGGGATTGCAGTGCAGCTTCTTGCCACAAGGCCACCAGAGCTCCCCCAAGGCTTTAAACCTTAAAAGAAGATTTTTTTTTTCTCTCATAGAACCACTGATGGATTCTAACCCCTGGTTAGCAGCACAACACATAATACATGACACCAACAGAGCTTCTTAATGATTAGCTAAGAGGGCTTAAAATCCCTGCCCCCACAGCCCTAAAAAAAAGCTGCCTAGATCTCCTGGCAATTTACGTGGGCCTGGGGTATGGGGCAGCCTAAAATTTAAGCCAGAATCGAAAATTCTAACACTTTCAGAGACGTAAGACTAACTTATTTCTTGTCCTGAATCAGAACCTACTTACAGCTGACCCTCCACTGGGTTCCAAAGCTGTTATCACAGGGCAGGAAACAGTCCATCCTTCTCCCTTAGAGCTACCTGCAGATTCAAATCACGAGAGAGAAGCCACCTTTGGGTAAGGAGTGCAACTTGTGCCAGACTGCACCATCAGAGATGAAGATGGAAACACAAATGAGCAGTTATTCTTCACAGTAATCTTTTCAGGTAATATAGATAATTCCTCCTTGTCTTACAAGTAGGAATACTACTGCTTCTTCAAGATCAAGAGCTAATAAATGGTGAAACTGGGTTCAAATCAGTGTAAAACCAGAGCCTGTGATCTTAACCACTAAGCAGCACTGCCTGGAAACTACTTCCATGTCCCCAAATCACATCTGTTAGATTATTTGATGAGAAAGAGAAACATAAATTTAAAAAGCAGGATTGCAAACACAAGGCCTATGATCTCAAGGGTACTTTTAAAAAAAAAAAACAAAAAACCCAAATATGAGAAAACATTTCACCCAGATAGTAAAAATTGGGTTTTCTGGGAGATAAAATCACATATGATCAGGGGCTGTGAAGGAGTCCCAGCAACATTTGTCTTTAGCAAATTCCATAAAGGTAGGAAGCCTAGTGTCCTGTACAATCCTTAATCCAAGGTACCCTCAGTCTATTTTTAACACTGAATACACTATATGCACTGCCAAAGCTTTTGCAAGCAGAGCTACAGAAAGAAGAGAGTATAATCAAGTGCCTCTGGCAGCACAGTGCTAAGGAGCACAGGGAATTCCGGGCCACTCCTCAGCTGGAACACAGCCCTACAAGGCAGGGTAAACGCACAGCAATCTTCTGCCCTTTTTAGGGATTTCACACATAATTCTTCTTTACCACTTCACAATATATATAAAAAAATGAAATAAAAAAGAGATCAGCTGGCATAACAGGGGTTCTAGCCTCAGAACCTCGGAATGTTCTGAGGACAAAAGTTGCCAGAGAATTTCTTCACACCCCTTGAGTCAGCGCATGTGGTAGGAGCCACCTTACTCTCACATGCTGCAGACAGAGCTTGTTTACAAAGTCAGTGTAAAGAAATTCAAAACACTAATGGAAAAAAGTCCATACTGGTGCAGTGCCTGCTGCTTCGAATAGGCTGCAGAAAGCAGCATGGGCAGGAAGAAGGGAATCCTGTGGGCCTTACACATATCTTGGAACAGACTCCCACAGTTCATAGAAGCCTGTTTCCTCACTGATGTTTTTAAAGTGGCTTAAGATAAAATGACAGAAAGCAAAACATTTAGTTAGTTCTTTCTGAGAAACAGAATAAAAGCCCTAGTGATACTGCCTCTGATCAAAACACCTGACAGGAAAATACAAGACACGCAGCAACCTGTCACACAGCCAGGAGGGCAGAACTCCAGGCAGAAGGAAGGCGAGGCACCAAAAGCCAGGAAGAGATTCAACATTCTCCCATTCCCATCCCTTCCTCTTTCTTATCTGTCAGATCAAATAGGTTTGGTGAAGGCAATTCCTCAAGGCAAAATGTCCCTCCTGTACCAGTCAGATCCGATCTGATGGTACACACACAAAAAATAAAAAAAAAAAAGAAAGGCAAAAATGTCCCCAGCCCATCCTCACCAACACAGAAACAGAAAACATGCTAATATGGAAACCCCACGCCCCAAAACATACTCTCCAATTCAGCTCCCAAACTTACATATGCAAGCAGCAGCGATGAGCCGGCTGGCCGCATACGGGGTGTTACAGGTGGGGAAAGAAGGCTGGGTGATGTAGTTGGCGAAGGTGATGGCAATGATGGCCTGGCTGGTGGGCTCGACAATAAGCAGCGAGGCCCACAGACGAATGAAAGCGATGAAGCCCCCAAAGGCCTCCAGAATGTAAGCATAGCTGGCCCCAGACTTTGTGATGGTGGTCCCCAGTTCTGCATAGCAGAGGGCACCAATGACAGAGAAGAGCCCACCGATTGCCCACACCACCAGCGACAACCCATAGGAGGTAGTGTACACCAGCACGCCCTTGGGAGAGACAAAGATGCCTGAGCCGATCATGTTGCCCACCACCAAGCTGATCCCATTCAGCAGGGTGATCTCCTTCTTTAGCTGCATCGTCTCCGAGGGTTTGCGAGGTGGCGTCCTGGCATCTTCCATGTTATGCTGGCTGGCCTCAGAGATGAGGCGGTAGTCGGGCATGGAGCTCCCCAGCTCCCCGGCTTCCATGGTAAAATGGTTACTGCACACCTGTGTTTACTGCGACCTGGGAAAGAATACACACACATCAGTTTTGGTGATAAGGCTTTGTGTGAGACTTGTGAAACAGGAAGATTTTTCAGAACACCCTATGCCATGCTGCCCATGTCCTGTGGGTATGTAGGAAGAATGCACAGCCCTAAATACAATGGGCTCCAGTCGCCATCGCAGGCTACAGGGAAACAGAAATAAGCACACCCTCCTCCCGAGGAAGGCACAGTGAGAACTCACGCGTAGCACCATCACCACGGCCAGTGTAGAGGCACCAGCTTATCACCCACATTAAGCTGGCAATTAGGTTTGTCCCAAAGCACCAATTATTCCTGAGATGTAAGGTTTCAAAACCACACTGGCCATGCAGGGAAGATCCGGATCCCTGCACCGCTAGTCAGCCTGACAGACTACCTGCCATCCGCATCAGAGGACCTTGCTCACTCACCTCCACTCAAGCATGCACAGAAACACCACCACTGTGGAAGAGATGAAGGATAGGGCCCTCGGGAAGGGACACACCCGTGCACCACTGTGTCCGCTTTCCGCACTGCTGATTCCTTACCTAGCACCTTTCTTCCCTCCAGAGTTCCCAAAACAGAAGAATTACATAAGAAGATGAAATGGAAAAGCATATCCAGGGGCAGCTTAACCTGGGCTTATCTGCTTTCCTCCTCAGCGTGCCCCTCACTGCAGTCTAGGGCTGCAGGGAGATTCCCTAGGAACAGGACAGAAGGTTCTTGCCACGCAATAAGACCCATAAAGTTTCTCTTATGTACAGATCTGTAACAAAAAGCATCCTACAGAGATATCTATCATATACACAACACCCCTCCATCACCTCTGGATTACATAGGGCCAGTCCCAAACCTCAAGGAATTTAGATATCACATCAGTCTACACAGAAGGCCCCAGAATCTGTCCAAGCACCTTGCTGACCCTGCAGCATGGCCTTTTCCCTTCCTTCAACTCCTGAGTCAATCTTGCTTCAAATCTCCCAATCTCAGCTCATGATCTAGGGAAAAAAGGCATCTAGTCAGTCAACTGATTCTCACCCAAGAATTAGTCCTTTAAAGTCACAATTAAGAACAGGACAAATCAAATATAACATCTTCCCAGAAGCCCTCACATGGTCAACAAAGATGGATGTGCTGGGAACTTACCTCCTGGAGCTCGGAAGAAGAGGGCACCATAATCATTCAAGATTATGTAGTTCCCAAAGAAACTTCCAGTATCTGCAGACTAACCTGGCCCAGTCTCCTTCTAGGTCTGGACCTGAGCCCACGTGGGAAAAACCATTCTAAGGCCCTAGCACAGCTTCCCCCATGCCCAGGAGTTGATCCAGACCACCAGCTGCCTCTGGGCTTCACAGCAACACCACTTTCCACTGCTGGCACCATGCCATCCAGGTAGTCCTATGCAAGCATGTGAGAACATGTTTGTTTTCACGTGCTGGTCAGAAGAGGCCAGGAATCCATGGCAACAGAGGGAAAGCATCAAACGGCTGGCAGCCTGGATTTTCACATGAAAGTCAGGTGCAGTGACCTACGTTGCCTCCCCCCACCTCCCAACCCCCACCAAGTTAGCACAGAAACAAGTAGGGAATGGTTAAGGACACCTCCTTTACCCAACACAACTAAGGTAAATGAGGATTCTTCCTCTTCATTCAATGACATCATGTAATTGCCACTGGAGGCTATTCTTTAGCTAATGTAATTGAAGCATCTACTTTTTTTTTCTAAACACCAATGGACAAAGTTGTAATGTGACCCCAACAGCTCCCCAGGGGCAAACGGCTAAGTCTCAGGCTGACAGGGCCACACAACTCCAAGGTCAATGCTTACCTTCTCTCTATACCTGAACTTCACCTCACAGACCTCAAAAAAGTCTACAATGTGCCAGGCTCTGTGCCAAGGACACAGCAGTGAACAAGACTGGTAGGGATGATGCCCTCATAGAATACACAATCAGGCAGAATGGGAGCATAGAATCTAGAGGGACCTAAAACTCGAAGTCCATGCTCAGAGCATAGAATCGACCAGCCTGCTGTACCTCACTCCTCTCAAAACTCCAGTTCTCCCAGGAGTAAAGGAGCAAACAATAACATTTTCAAACAGCTTCTCACAAAAAAAAAAATCAGACAATATAAAGTCTCCTATAATAGATGAAGCCTTAAATAAATATTTCACACATCTTTAACAGAGCTGTCTCAACAGGAATTTGTCTCAAATACAAAGTCTGGAAGCAAAGAAGAATAGGAATGAAGAAGAGTAGTAAGATTACTGGATAATAAAATGTATCCTAAACAGGGATATCTTTGATTTCTACCTTACATCTAGGATGTAGAAACTGTAAAGACCATCAATCTCATACCAATGAGAAGAAAAATCCTAATATTCTAAAACATTATCATTTTTCTTGATGGCATCAGAGAGTTGATGTTACAGAGTGATCAATTAGATTAAAATTTAAGGAAAGACTGGCAGACATGTTCAAGGAGAAATGCAAGTTCTGGCTCACATGTGGCAGGAGGAGAAATATGGGACAGCCACAGAAGCAGGTATAAGAATTCAGATACAATTTTTAAACGACTAGAGGTCAAATGAGGGAGCAAGGAGTCAGAGGCACTGGGAGGCTCATGGTCACAGATCTCAGAGGGGACTCATAGGAAACACTGAGGGCAAGGCTGGAGGAGACCAGAGCAAGTTCTTAGTAGTGCTGGTCTGGACTGGAAAAGGAGTCACTGCCAAGGGGGGAGGGCAGGATACAAAGCACCACCTGGTCAGTCTCCTCTAAGAATTTAAATCTTAATCCTCTGAGGAAAATGCAGCCAACTTAGTTACTCTCCAAGAGACTAAGACAGAGTTTAAAAAAAACAAGACTGAATAACCTTTTACCTCTAAAGGAGGGGTAGGAAATAAAGACTAAAACTATTAGAGGTATCCCATTTCTGGGGGGAGGAGCAAACTCACCAAGAAACATCCATCTGTCACTCTTTGTAAACAGGAGACCTGAAACTCCTGATCCAAGAGGCTGAACCTTGAGAACAGAAGACACCCCTGCCCCTCACCACCAGGTTTGCAAGCACCAAGTAACAAGAAGCCACAATGGTAATAAATAGCACTAAAGAATACACAGGTATATAAAGAAGGCCTAAGGCTCAGAGTAGATCATCAAATAAAACACTGAGAAAAATCCTCCTTCCAGTAAACCAACCCTAAGCCAAGGAAACACTAGAGGAATCTGAAGCCAATGATATACCCTATGTAACCACAGCAGCACCAAAACCTAAACCCAGTTCACTGCCCAATTAACTCAAACTCTCACACTAACAGCATCACTTACCCATTCACTAATTGCTGTTGAGTTGACTCATAGATGAGTCTCCAGAGGCTTTTCAGAGGTTAGAATTCACACTGCAGATTACTCATCTTTCTCCTGTGAAGCAGCTAGCTGGTGGATCCAAACAAGTAGGAAGAACCATCTCAGGGTGAGTAGTGCAACTCCCAACAGACCACCAGCCACCAGAACTCCCTAGAGAAAAAATACTGGCCTATGTTCACAAAAATAACACGACTGTATCAGAACTCCATCATTTCTGTACATTGTATGTGTGGGCAGTTTAGTTATGAAAATACCTTATTCATGTGTCTATTATCTTATATGTATTAAGGCTAGCAATCAATAAGAAATTGTAAAAAAACACCCACAAAAGAAAAATAAACTACTAGCAAAAAAACAACCAATAGGACAGACTTTAGAGATAACCCAAATACTAGAACTGTCAGAAAGGGAGTCTAAAATAACTATGATTAATATATTTACAGTGTTCAGTATAAAAGGTGGATAGCTGATAGAAATAAATGTAGAATTTTATCAAAGAAAAAAATTGAGGAATCCCTAATCTGTAGCATAAATAGACTATCAAATGTAACTGAAAATATAGTCAGAAGATCAACTAGATGATTTAGACCACAGACTACAGCTTCATTTCAATAACAAGAAAACAAAAATTGTCCTAACTGGACTAGTAGACAGCATCATTATCAATGAACAGACTGATTCAGGCCCTGGCATCCAACACCTGGACAATGAATGAATAAGGATGACAGAGAAAGAATTGATGCCTTTGAGCTGTGGTGTTGGAGAAAAGCACTGATCATCCCATGGATGGCCAAGAAAACAAATAGATTGGTCTTGGAAAGGGTGCAGCCGGAGTGCTCTTCAGAGGCAAAAATGATGAGGCTTTGCCTCACATACTTTGGACATATTGCCAGCAGGTGCAATTCCTTGGAGAGGGACATGATGTTGGGAAGGGTGGAGGGTCGGTGAAGGAGAGGAAGACTGTCAACCAGGTGGACTGACAAGGTGACTGTTGCAATAGGCTCTTGTGTGTTAGGAAGTGTGAGGATGGCGCAGGACAGAACTAGATTCAGACCTTTTGTTCACAGGGTCACTATGAGTCGTACTCGATTCAATGGCACCTAACAACAACATAATGCAAAAAGAAGGAATAAAAAGCATAGTTAAGGAACTCCTAAATGTAGAGGAAATCAAGGTATGATGTCAGAAACCTTAAAAGTTGGCTTTTTTCTGGCAATTATGATTACGTTAGCCCCCATGAGTGGGGAGGCGGCAGACAGTCTTTCAAATAATCAAGAGAAATATAAGAGTTTTTTACACTGTGAGGTACCCTGGGTGACAGTGGGGCAGAAAGGGTGGAGACTTCACTGATGTGAAGAGACTGTGGCAAGTGCAACTCGAGGAATCCTGCATTAATCCGACAGTTAAAAGGTTTGCTCGCCAGATGACTGAAGGGAAAACTGACTTATAACTGATCTGAGATAAAGCTTGTTGGATTGAGAAGAATCACAGGCTTCTTGCATCTGCGCTGCTGAACCCAACTGTCACTAATTGAGGAACTATGCCTTGTTAACCTGGCTTGGAACTGTCAGACTAAACCTGGACTTGTACTGTGT